TACAGAACGTTTATTAGTAGGAAGATGGAAATATGGTTTTTTTGCAATGATACTAGTTGGATCTACGAATGTTGGATCAATCAAGTTTAAGTTTGATCAGGGATTTAAATTGTTTTTATGTAACAAATAGAAAAAAAGATATGATATTTTTCGTAGTTTACGAATTATTTTTCAGGTTCTTCGTACGAATCAAAATGGAGCTACTGTTGGGACATATACAGGAATGTCCTATAAAAATACTAGTAAGAACATAGATGGACATCCATTAAGGATTGGCGAAGAAATTGGTGGATTTCTCTTTGGCTCTTCCATGCTACTAATATTTGAAGCGCCACTGAATTTTAAATTTTGTGTAACACCAGAACAAAAAACTAAAGTCGGTCGAAAGCTAGGACAGGATGGCGACTGAGATTCGATAAAACTTTTGAACAAAAGATTATTTATATAATCAATTTTGGATGAACTAACCTATTATTATTTTTTAGACCGTAAGACTTGACATTAAGTCAAATTAAGATCATATGTTGTCTTTTTTAAGAAAAAATTGACTTTAGTAATAAATTTAATAAAAAAATTTAATAATATTAATATTAAACAATAAAATATAAATATTTCAAGATTTTTCATTTTCACGTGGTAATACAGGTTGAATTTTTTCATATTCTTTTCGTAACATAATTTGTCGTTCATGTTCTAACTGATTTTGCTTCAATTTTTCGTGTTTACGTTCTTTATCTCTTATTATTCCTGCGTGCATAAACTTATCACAAACTGGTATAAGACATGATTAAATTATATCTAAAAGAACTGTGATGAATGTTTACCTCTTTTTCTTTTTTTTGAAGATAATGAACTCCAAATATAGTTCCCGTTGATAAAATTATCACAGATACTAATGTTGCTTTCGCTGTTCGTGACATATTACATAAAAATGTATAAATAGATTTTTTTTTTTTTTTAAAAAAAAAAAGATCGTAATACAGTAGTGACAAGTTATTCTGATCGACATTTCCAATCACCTAAATAATGATAATGAGGTTCGATTTAATTGGTCGGATTTGTTTTTTAGAGTGCGTGATAAAAAAAAAATTCGAGTCAATTTTATTTTATCTTTAATTAATCGAACCTCGATTTAAATTTTGGACAATTCCTTTTTTTTCTTTTCTATAAAAGTTATAACCTCGACATAGTTAAAAACTTGATTTTTTAAAGAACGGATTATATAAACTGTTTTAAAGAAAAAATCGGTCTTATCGTTATACAGCAGTGTTGGCACTGGACATATGTCCAACTATTTTTATGCTATTGGACTGGACTGGACATTGGACTTGGACATATGTCCAGTCCAACATGTCCAATAATAATTATATGCTGATTTATATATTATTGTCCAATACTTTTTGGTCCAATAGATTGGACTGGACTGGACAAGTGTGGTCCAATGTCCATGTCCAAATGTCCAGCCCAACACTGGTTATACAGTACAATTGAATAGATTAGTCGCGCCAAAATTTAGGATCGGGATTAGAGATTGGAACCCAAAGGCAGACATTCGTATGATTGGCTGTTTAAATCAATTTAATTTTACATTTTTATACAATTTAAAGTACTTTTTAAAAAAATAAAACTACGAGGAATAAACAAAAAAGAAGTATATAGAAAGTTTTATTAAGGTTGTTGGACTCCACTATTAAAAATAATCAAAATTCTTTTTTGTTTTAGAGACAATCACGATAGCCTGTGAGTACAGTAAGCGAGCTTTTTACAGCAAATCACGATAAATCCAACACCAAACTAACATATCCCTATCTAAATCACTTATGCAACCACAATAGTCTGTAAGTACAGTAACTGAACTTTTTACAGCAAATCACTATACAAATCACGATAAATCCAATACCAAACTAACATATCCCTATCTAAATTATTATGCAACCACAATAGTCTGTAAGTACAGTAACCGACCTTTTGCAGAAAATCACTATAAAAATCACGATCCAATACCAGACTAACATAATCCTATCAAATCACTTATGTAACAATAGTTTGTAAGTACAGTAACCGAACTTTTTACAACAAATTACACAAATCCAATACCAAACTAACATAATCCTATCAAATCACTTATGTCACAATAGTGTGTAAGTACAGTAACCGAGCTTTTTACAACTATACGAATCACGATAAGTCCAATACCAAGCTAACATATCCCTATCTAAATTATTATGCAACCACAATAGTCTGTAAGTACAGTAACCGACCTTTTGCAGAAAACCACTATAAAAATCACGATCCAATACCAGACTAACATAATCCTATCAAATCACTTATGTCACAATAGTCTGTAAGTACAGTAACCGAACTTTTTACAACAAATCAACTATATAAATCACGATAAATCCAATACAGTACCAAATTAACATAATCCTATCTAAATCATTTATGCAACTACAATAGTTCGTAAGTACAGTAACGGAACTTTTTACAGAAAAACACTATACAAATCACGATAGGTCCAATACAAAAACTAACATAATCCTATCAAATCACTTGTGTTACAATAGTTGGTAAGTACAGTGACCGAACCTTTTGCAGCAAATCACTATATAAATTACAATAAATCCCAATACCCAACTAATATAACCCATCTAAATCATTTATACAACCACAATAGTTAGTAAGTACAGTAACTGAACTTTTACGGAAAATCACTATACAAATCATGACAAGTCCAATACCAAACTAACATATCCATATCTAAAATCACTTATGCAACTACAATAGTTGGTAAGTACAGTAACTGGACTTTTACAACAAATCACTATACAAATCACGACAGATCCAATATAAAACTATCATTAACCCTATCAAATCACTTATGCAATCACGATAGCCTGTGAGTATA